ATCCTATTTTGATATTATACAATTTTCTAATTCACCAATTTCTCAAATTAAATACAAATATCATCAATCTTATCTTCTACAAGCATTACAATATATTTCTAAAAAACTTCAAACTCCTAAAGTTCTACCGATCTCTTTTTTCCTCAATAGAAAATACCAGCTGAAGCTTTTAAAAATATTTTTTATCCAACTAATACAAAGTCTTCATCTACTATATCTTATTAAATATCTCTACAGAAAACATCAGATGCCGTAACTATTAATTTATATTTCTATTCAAAATACACAAACTCTTTACTTACTATATTTATCTAAGTACTTTTCTTCTGTAACTACTTAAATTTTAAACAATTAATCTATCTTTCTTGTTATTAAGTACAATTCGATGCTATCTCTATATATTATTTAGCTTTACTTATATACAAAATTATAACCTAATATTTATCACTACAACATTTATTTTATAACTATATAACTATCACAACTAACTATTATATACTATTATTCAATCTTTTTTACAACAACTTTATCTTAGATACTCATCCATTTATATTGATATATCTTTATATATATAATCTTTCTATATACTTATACTATCTATTATCTTACTCATAAACTATATTTTATATAGTTTGGTCAAATCCAGATAAGCCATGGCTTACCTAGTCGATATATATTGTTCTAGGTGAACCATGGCTGCTCTGGTAGGTTTAGGTCACAAATAAATTAGTCTGAACTTCTATTCTTGCTATTCTTTGGATATGGAGTTTATATGTAATTTTTTTTTATAAAGGAGTATATATAATTTCTTTTTGTAAAAGAGTTCAAATAAATTTCAATAAAGTTAGAAGCATAGCTTCACCTTGAACATTAAAAAAAAAATATATATATATTTATTTAATAGTTGAAAAAAAGAAATATAAAGAAGCGAAAAAAATCGCTAATGCTGAAAAGAAAAAAAATAAAGCATTAAAAGAAAATGAAAAATGAAAAAAAATATTTAAAAATTTAAAATTAGAAAATGATAAAGATAAAGAAAAAATCAAAGAATTAGAAAAAACACTTGCAACAAAAGAAACAAAAATTGAAACATTAGAAAAAGATAAAAAAAGATATAAACTAGAAGCAAAAACTTGGAAAGAATTATATAAAAAAGCTAAAGAAGAAAAAAAACAGTATGAAACTTTATATAATGCTTATATTACTAATCATGGAGATTATGATCATATTAAAAAAAAATTAAAAAAAATTACTAAAGAGCATGATGATTATAAAAGAGATTTAAAGAAAAGTCAAGAAGAAAAAAGAAAAATTAATATTAAAATTCAAAAAAATGTTCAAACAATTATTACTTTAATAAAAAAATTTCCTCCTTATTTAATAAGACAAATAATTGAACAATTTGAAAAATTAGCAGAATCTGGTGACCAAAATATGTATGAAATAATTATTGGAAATGTAAATGAATTAGACATAGTAATATAAATTTTATTTATTTTTATTTATTTATTTTATTTTATTTTTATTTTTTATTTTATTGTTATTTTTTTTTATTTTTATTTTATTCTTTATTTTATTTTTTTTTAAAAAATAAAAAATATATAAATACCTATTTTTTTTTTAAAAAAAAAAATAAATATCGAATTTTCTTTTATATATTATCTATTTGAATTTTAATATTTGCTGTTTTATAATAATAATCTGGCTCTGTACACTTCTTTATAAATCTAACGAATTAGTTGAAATACTTTTGACACTAAAACAACTTTTGATAATTGTTATAACAAATATCAAACTTATAATCTTGGAACTTATATACTTATTGGATAATTAAAACTGGTACCAAAAAAGAAACAACCATCAACCAAAAAGAAACTAAACCAAAAACAACACTTAAAACAATAAAAAAACTATCAAAACTACCTATAAAAAAAACAACTAAAACATCACAAAAAAAGAAATCACAAGTCAAATTTGGTTCTTGTTGTAATAAAAATATATTATTCTTTAAACCGTCCGGTTAAGCAGGCAAATTTGCCCGCTTAAATATTTGGAAAAAAACTAGCCCCCACCAAAATTTTTTTATAGAAATACTAATCCGAATTGGCTAGAATAATACTTAGGCATACAAAAAATATGAAAATTTAGCAATTATGTCATGCCGCATGCCATGTGACCCAAACCGGGGGTACAAATTAAAAACTACGTGATATGCTTCGCCCGTGTTGTTGAATATTTCATTAGAACTAAACTCTTAGGATCGCTTTGTAAATTTAGCTGTAGAATTTTAAGATCCGTACAAGATAAAATTACTATGTAATATGGGTACATATTCATAATAAAATTTTAAGTAATTGACATAATTTAGACATCATCGTTTAATCGTGTAAATCAGAACTATCGATTTGTAAAATTTTAAAATCTAAGTTCTCACATTGAAGTTAATTTTTAAACCGCTTTTATTTACATAAAATTAAGCATTCAGGGATTATCCCAATCCCATTTTAATAGCACAACCCGACTTAAGATGTTCTAATTTCATTTTGATAACATAGCCGATTTGAAATATTTCACTAACATCTCACATTTCAGCAAGTATTTGTTAATGAATAAATGCTTTATGTTAATCCTATTCAATCACTGTTCTATTTTGATAACAATCTGCAAGGTTATATGTTGCAGTATTATTATCTATCCTTGCGAATTTTTGACATAAAACTCTAAAAAAACAATTTCGATTATTATTGCAACAGAAAGGTACGTCACACATAACACACCAAAGCTGACTTTGATGTGGCGTTTTATGATCCAAATCCAAATTTTTTTTACTTGCCAACCACGTACACCACATACATGCTTCTCGTCTCTCTCTCCATTCTGGAAAATGGTTACCAGATACAAACCGTTGGTTTGAAAGCTCAAAATGCTTCGACACCCTTGATCGTTTCGTTTCTTTTTTTTTTTCTTCGCTCATATTTCTTTTTTTTTTTGGTTCATTTCTTAGCTGAATTTCCCTGATATTATTTGCGACATCTATTAGATCCCAAACAAGTTCAAGACAAAATTTTTTATGCTCTTGTGTTGAACCTAGGGTTCAGGCGATTCGGTACGAGTTAACGATCGTGGTATCTAGCAGCCAAAAAAAAAGCGGCATCCAGTTCCTTCGTACTATTTGTTGGGTATTATAATATGACTGTAGTTGGTCTGCAATGTCCATGCCATTCATGTAGTGGTTGTAGTCATCGATTACCTTTGGGATTTTCAATATTTTTTTTGATTCAGAGCCAAAAACTGCATGCACTTTTGTTGCGTTAGTGCTGGTCTCTCTTGGCCGCCGTCGTTCGTATTCCACTTCCCATTCATCACCAACAAGACCATGAACTGTCAACAACATAGTGACCGGACCATTGTCCTGCCAAAATATAGCCAACACTCCATTTACTATGACACCAGAACGTACATCCCAGTCAAGCCAGATATTTTTTTTTATCTTCAGTTGTTTCGGAAACCCGGATGCCGTTTTTCTAACAGTGCCACAGGCACCAATGCCAACTTGCCGAAGATTCTAGAAAAGAGGAACATTAGAAAAGTAGTTATCCATGTAGATATTATATAAAAGATGATGGTATGGAAGCTGTGCAACAAGATGATAAATCTGATATCCAATTTGGTTGAGCCCGTCCACTTTTGCTACTTCATTTGGGGAAATCCGCGAGGTTGGCAAGAAAGTATATGTG